AGACGTATGAGATGTTTAGACTCAGCATTTTTAAAAAAAATGATGCCTGGCACATGTATGTTAAGGTAAATTTAGAAAATTTAAAAAGGTAACAAGGCTATTTTAGAAATTTATATAAAAGCACAATCCAGAGTAATTAAAAAAGACATGTGACGACAATAATACAACAAAAAAGTATTATTGTACACAGGCTAGGATTTCGTTAGCTCTCAGCTGAAGATAGGCCACGGAAGTCAACCCCTTCCTCAGCAGCCACAGCAGGACTGCCGGGAGGACACTGGAGTCCCTGCTCAGCCCCAACCTCGGACAGCCCGCCGCGGGCTGGGCACTGGGAATGGCTTCAAGCATCTGTCGCGAGTGTTGTTCTGATCTCCATTTACAGCTCAGGTAACTGTGGCATGGAAGAGAAATACTTTTCTATTGTATCATCAATAGGTTAAGAGTTGTAATTCTTAAAAAGTACAAAAACAGTCAAACCTCAAGGCAATCTTTTACTCCTAGTTGAGATAAATTACTGAAGGAAAAACCCCAAAACATATTTTGGTTTGAAACTTAATGGTAGAGATTGAAAAATGTTCTAACTGCCATCGAGTCGTGAGTAAGGCTGGAATTCTTATATAGTTTTTAAGCAGTTTTACTGGCACTGCGTCCACATATCATACAATAGTTCGATCATATCAAGAAGAGTTGTACAGTCATTACCACAATCAATTTTAGAACATTTTTTCCTTCTGTGTACTCATTATTTGTGTAATTATTTTTCTAATTTTGGCAAAAAAATACACAATGAGACATTCTCCAATTCAACAACTTCTCCACATGTCATTCAGTGCCAGTGCTCACTCTTCATGTTGTACAACCATCATCAACATCCTTTTCCTAACTATTCCACCTCCATCAGCATAAACTCAACATTCCCTAAGCAAAAATTATTCCTACTTCACCCAAGGTTAGCCACTGGTCAAGCTTTTTTGGTTTGTTTTCTCGATACAATGTTCACATAGCACACACTTCAACAGTTAAATTGTATATACATCATTACAATCCGTTCTAAAGCCCACCCCCTTGTGTTGACTGTTTGCTCCCCAATTCCCCTCACCCCCACCGTTCCCAATAGACCATTGTATCAGTTATTAACTCTACCCATCCACTCCTTGTGCTTCACAAATTGGAAAACCTAACAGAAATAAAAAAAGAAATATTAAACAGCTAAGAAAATAATAAGATGAAAATAAAGGGCGAGAGAGAAAGACCACCAACAATATTTTCAAAGCCAGAGAAGAAATCACTGTTGCGGAACAAGTGAGAAATATTTGAGCCTAGAGCAAATTCAGGCTGGGTTGAGGGAGGTCAGTTTTAAAAGAGTTCTTTTTGCGTGTGGAAAAGCAGCAGAAAAGGTGTGGGTAAGGCTATCACATCTTCCCTGCACAAGTCATGGAAACGATCTCTAGAAATAGAAAATGCTTGGCTCGCTCATCCCTTAATAATGAAACGACACAGTACGAAAATCCTCAGATTGTAAAGAAAAGGACTTACTTGACTGCGGCAAACACATTATCTCCACTTTGAACAATCACACAGTTTTTCTTTGCTTCATTCGTCCCTACATACACAGGAAGCTCGTCAGGAGAATCCCTGGGAAGCAGAAGGTGTTATTAACTGAGCTGTCCTTAATTCCTCTTACCAAGCAGGTAAATTTTTAGGTTTATAGATTTTATATATAATTTACATCTATTGGCTCTAGGTTCCTTAGAAATGAACATCTGGACAAATCTTATACAGTGAACCCTCGCCACTTCGCGCTTCGACTTCTGCGGCTTCACTCTCGCGGTTTTTGTGTAACAGCGCATGCTCTGTCATTACTGCCACTGATTGGCTCATACTGTACACGCTTCTGTCTGCATCGCAGATACGTATCAGATGCATTTTTGCTTTTGTACAGTGTAATGTAATTGTTTGCGATTTTTAAGAAATTTTATCTAAGCCCTATGATGGCTCCTAAACGAGCTGCTTCTTCTAAGCCTTTTGACAATAAAAATAAGCGCCAGAGGAAGATGCTCACCATCCAGGAAAAGGTAAAACTTTTGGATATGATCAAAGATGGCAAGAAAATCGTGGAGGTTGCACGCCATTTCGACTTGAATGAGTCTTCCGTTCACTCCATCCGTTGTACTTCATAATACAATAAATAATAAATGATAATTGTAACGTTCAAAATGTTTTACTGCATTTTCCCTTTTTCGTTTAATAAATTGGGTAATACGTGTAATGGTGACTAAAGGGTGTTTTTTCATGTCCTCTATGCTCTAATTACGAAAATATTTGATTTACAAATAAGGAATCCTACTTCGCGGAATTTCATTTATCATGGTAGGGTCTAGAACCGATTAACCGCGATAAACGAGGGTTCACTGTATAGCGGACACTAAAATTAAGATTCTTCAATCCTAATACTTCTTCTACACCCACATACAAAGGAAAGGGAGAAGAAGGCTTGTTAAAGAAGGAAATCACACACCGTCATCTCCTTCCAAGTTCTAGAGTCTAAAACAAAAGGCAACCAGAAAAGAAACAGGTCAGAGTGTTGGCTAACGAGGCCTTCCTTTGCATATCATCAAACCTGTTTATCTCATAATCAAGGAAAACAAGAGATCAAGTGACTTCAAGATCCTAATAAGTCAACACAACGTCACGAACAGAAGCCACATCACTCGATTCTTGCTACTATCAGAATTACTAAGCAGCCCTGGTGGTGCTGTCGGACTGCTAACCGGAGGCTGGTGGTTCAAACCCACCGGACACTGCACGAGAGAAGGTGGAGGGCATCTGTGCCCAGAGATTTAGTCTTAGAAACCCACGGGGGCAGTTCTACTCACTGAGTCAGATTCGACTCAGTGGCAGTGAGTTTTGGGGCACTTTCCTCTACTTCCTCTATTGTCTTCCTCATCACATCAAATGGCAGCTTTTCTACTGGCACACTAAGACCAGGTATTTTCCCTCACAATGCCACTATTTCCCAAGACTTTAAGGATCTGGCATGTCTTCATTTAATCCTCACACTGTTCCTCTCCTGTATGTATAATTTCCCCCATTGTTATTGGAGAGGAAACTAAGATAATGATTGGTACAAGGTCACTTAGCAGTCACCCGCTCGTAAACCACCACTCTGTCCCCTGGAGGCACATGGCGCATATATGATGTGCAACTCCTCTACATGAACATCTGGGGCTCAGGGGTGAGGGGATCATGGCCACAAAGGAAAACTAGTGGCATTCAACTTAAAAGAGTTCATCTATTTAAAATGGCAGTTTGTGAGGAATAAGAAATAGCCTGGATCCAACAACTAGGAGGAAATGATGCCCTTCACCTTGGGTAAGGCCAGTGCGTATCCATTTATACTGGTTATCAGTTAAAGAAGAAAAGAAGACTGCTGACCTGAAATAGCCCATGTGGTACTGCGACTGATCATCCCCGACAATTATCGTCTGGAACTCGGGGGGGTCGTAGTAGAACCTCCAGTGCAGGTTACAATTCAGCCCTGCTGCTTTCCCCTTCTGTTTCTGCTTCCCGGCGAGGAGGTCATAGGGGCCCACTAACCGAAGCCCAAGGCTGGCAGAAAGTGAATCTAGAAAGAAGTTTATGGACAACAGTATTCATCAGGAGGCAGTGAGGAAATCATGATTTTTATCAGTCAACTATTTCTAATTATTTTATAAGCATTTCTAAAGTTAAAAACAAAACACTAAAAATTCCCAAAACTTTTAGGTACCATATAAACTCAAGTATAAACCGACCCGAATACCAGCCAAGGCACCTAATTTTACCACAAAAATGGCATTAAAAAATGTACTGGAAAACTCAGCTTATACACGATACAAGTGGAGATGTTATTTATAAACATTCAATGGAAAAAAAGCCAGAGCAGCACTTACATTTAGGATTGCCTCTTAAATTAGCCATTGAATTAGTTTATAGTTCAAGCATTCCTGCTATTTCCTATTTTAGCCAAAGCCAGACTATCTGTAGTCCTACTGGGTGCTGAGAGATAAACACTTAATCGTGTCTCATTACCACACTGTGGTTAGCTTCATGGACCCATAGCATACATGTTTATAAGGGAGACAGGAAAGGAAAATGGATTTGAAAACAATGTTTCCTTCCTTTCCTGGGTGGTGCTAATGGTGTCCACATGTGTACACACGCAGCTGCTATTGATCTACTTCTGAAAAATCATCCCGACAACCAATGGAGCACAATTCTACTTTGGCACACAGGTCTTTTCTTAAGTCAGAACCGACTGGGATTCACCTGGCTTCTCTCCACTAATCAGCTCATCAACGCTCCAGAGTCCCTGGGCTCCCAGGCAGTCTACTGGCCTACTCTAGCCCTGCTTGTGGAGCCAGGCCTCGGCAGCGCTTCCTCTGTTGGCACGCAGCAGGGTCACTGTGAGTTAGAACAGGCTCAAGGGCACCTAGCAACAAACCCTGGCTGAGTCCACCTTCACAGATCACAGAGGGAGTGTTAAATAAAACCAAAGCCACGTGGTCTGTTCAAATGTGTAATTTTCTAACTTCTGTAAGCACTCCAGGCAGGACCCGGAAGAAGAAAACTCTTGGAAGGAGTAAAGGGTGAGAAAGTCACCAGAGAAAGTCTACTTTGAGACGGACAAATAGTGCTACCTCACTGGAGCTTAAGGCAGTTCATCCCACTGTTTACAGTAACAGGAAAACTAAAAACACCCATTTCACTAGCCAGTAATAAGAAGGGTATACAGGAAAAACCGTCTATGCTCTCTTCCCCCTGTAAATAGATCTAAGTATATAAAATTTTAGAAGATGAGATTATGCTGTTTTCCTCATCTGATTTCCATCCTTCATCCTGCCCTACTAAAAATTTCTGACTATCTTCCCATGCTCTCAAATTTATTTTAAATGTTTAAGAGCTGCATGATTTTCTACCATGAAAAGGTGCACATAAGCTTCATTCTCCGTTGAAGTATCTTTTGTTGTTTGAGGGAAGAGTCCTCCACAAGCCTTTCATAAGCATCCTTGTTGGTAAATGCTGATGCACAGCCATGAGTACAGAAGGTGCTATACAATGCAAGGGTTGGGAAAGACTGTCAAAATCCAGACAGCAGGTGCCAACCAACAATGTATGTCTCCTCTACTCCATGCTAGTTAAAGCAACAACAAATCACACAGTACAAAACAGCATATAATTAAAAGTTAACTCCATCTCTTTCCTGTTCCCAGACCAACCCATTACCAGTTTCTGAATCAACCTTTCAGAAATAGAGGTAAATAAATGGAACACAGGTATATGTGTAGTGTCCATATACTTTTAAAAAAGTCATTTTATTGGAGGTTCTTACAGCTCTTATAAAAATCCATACATACATCAAGTTGTACATTTGTTGCCTTCATCATTCTTAAAACATTTGCTTTCTACTTGAGCCCTTGGTATCAGCTCATTTTTCCCCTCCCTCCCCACTCCCTCATAAACCCTTGATAATTTATAAAGTATTATTATTTTTGCTATATTTTATACTATCCGACGTCTCCCTTCACCCACTTTTCTGTTGTCCATCCCCCAGGGAGGAGGTTATATGTAGATCCTTATAATCGGTTCCCCCTTTCTACCCTACCTTACCTCCACCCTCCTGGTATCACCACTCTCAGCAATGGTCCTGAAGGGATCATCTGTCCTGGATTCTCTGTGTTTCCAGTTGCTATCTGTACCAATGTACATCCTCTAGTCTAGCCAGATTTGTAAGGCAGAATTGGGGTCATGATAGTGGGTGGGGAGGAAGCAATTAAGAACTAGAGGAAAGTTGTATGTTTCATCGGTGCTACACTGCACCCTGACTGACTCATCTCCTCCCTGCAACCCTTCTGTAAAGGGATGTCCAGCTGCCTACAGATCCACACACTTCTTTTGCAGTTAACATATTTCAGGCATGATACTTTATTGAAAGTTTATTACATTTATGCATTAAAAACCTGCCTATTAATAGCCACTGAATAGATGCATTACTGATGGGCATGTAAGCGGCATTTCTCCCTTTTTCTTTAATAAGTATGCTGGAGCTTAATTCTTGGTTCACAAAAACCACAAGACAAATTTCTAGAGGCCCAACTATTAAACTGTACTAAAACCTCCATTTAAATATTAAAGTGCTTACTTCCCCACTAACGCTCATCAAACCATGTGGTAAAATTATCTACCTTTGTCTATTAGTAATAGGGACTTATCATTATGGCTTTAACTGATATTTCTTATTACTATATTTGTTATGTGAAACATCGTTGAAACGGTTCCTTTTCTATTAACTGTTTATATTCTTGGCCTGGTAGCTATTGCCTTTTCTGCTCATAGAAGCAGCAGAAGGATCCGGGAACAACTCACCAGCTGGCTTTTCAGGATCAAGTTCTTCACAGAACTTCCAGAAATGATAGAAATCTTCAGGCAGAGAGAGCTTATAATGATTTTCGACTTCTTTTCGCAGGTCACTGGGGACATCAGCCTCGCACGACTTACTTTTCTTCACATCAACGGTTTTTTCACACTGAAAATTGGCATACCAAATTTATGTGCTACAAGGAATTTCAATGGCTTTCCTTACAAAACAATATTGTCTATTTTTGTACACCCAACCCCATGGATATATGTTTTCCTTAAGACTCTGTAAGTGGCATTTCTAAGTCAAATCTTGGGATGCTTTTGGACAAAGATAAAGAAGAATCTAACAGATGATGGTCAAGAGGGGCCCACGCAGCAAGTCTTTCAATATATTTCTCTGGGATACTGGAAACACAGAAGGAAAGAAGGTGGGAAGAGGGAAGGAAGGGAAGAAGGCACGCAGTGAAAGGGAACGACAAGAAGGCAGGGTCTGCCCTCTCTGGGTAAACACATGATCTAACTCTTTAAGACAGATTCAGTGATCACATCAGAAGCAGACTGCCAGAAATAAGCGGCTCTAAGATTTGTCAGGGAAACAGCTGCTGCTTCAACAATCTCCAAACAGAGCCTTCAACTTTAAAGCACCTTTTTCTTTTTTGGCATTCCAAATGAAGAGACCGGGAAGGTTACTGGTAATTTTAAGTATCGATAGTCTACAGAAAATTAGCCGAGTATCAGGAGAATATACTATGGGCCCTCAAATCCAATTATGATAGAACTGTCTTTCATTCCAGGGATAAGGTTGTAAAATTCAGCTCTGTAGTTCCTCTGCAACATGGATTTATTACAGAAGCATACAAGGCTACACCATCTTTGATAATGCCTCATAATCAATATTTGGTAAGTTTCTGCAAAGATAGTACACTTATTTGGAAGCTACTCATTCTTTGTTATTTAGTAGTAATCTGATTCTGGGCACAGAGAGCCTTTCATTTTGGACTGAGTTTTTATAGTTTCATTGGTAATGTAATCATTCAATAATATTACAATTTCTGCAATGATCACCACAATCAATTTCAGAACATTTTCATCTTGTACTCCTTGTTAGCTCTCCCTTTCCCCTAACCTCCCTTAGCATGCCCCGAGGCAATGCTCAATCCAGTTACCGTCTTTATATATCTCCCTATCCTGGATTTCACCCACAGAAAATCCAACAAAACACAGACAGGAAGCAAACAAAAAAACCAACAATGACTAAACAAAATATAGAAAAATCTGGACTGAGTTCTTTCTTAATTCACAAGAAAGCTTCAGCAACAAAGCCTTCTCCCTTCTCTAGCTCCAAATTTAATTAAAGCCGAGGTTGAAAAACTCTAGTCTAAATGTTTCTTATCCATTTTTTTCTAGGCTCAAGTTTAGTGATGCTATCATTAAAAATAGGGAGCTCTGGTGGTGTAGTGGTTATGCACTGGGCCGCTAACCTCAAGGTCAGCAGTTTGAAACCACCAGTCGCTCCTAGGTAGAAAGAGGTGGCAGACTGTAACTGAAACCCACAGGAGTAGTTACCCTGCCCTACAGGGTCACTATCAGTCACAAGTGACTTGATGGCAGTGAGATCATCAAAAGTCTATAAAAGGTATTCATGAATCAAAAAAGAAAAAAAGCAGGAATCTGCACTAAGCAAAAAAACACTTGAAATACCTATCAACAGGTGACTGGATGGCAAAATAATGCAATGTTATACTTAGTGAAAGTTAAACTACATACAACAGTATGGATCAATCTGAACAAAATAATGTTGAATTTAAAAAGAAAATCCTAGAAGAGTATATGTAGCATGATAGCCATTTGATGACATTAAAAAGAACTGAAAATAGTTTAGGCATGCTCATAGATGATAAAGTTTGAAGAAAAAAAAAAGGTTTAAGGGAACAAAAAAAATCACAAAATTGAGGATAGTGGTGACAATAAATGAGGGTGCTAGGAAGAAGTTAAGCAGAAGGAATAGGGACAGGGCACAAACAAGATATAGAGCTACTAGATATAAAGTTTTAGTTTTTCTATTGGCTGAGAGATTCACAGGTGTTTGATATTAACTATGGTAAGCCAGGACCACACACTGACTAACCATGGTCGCTCATCGAGTTTCTTATCAATCTGTGTTTCTCTTAGTCATTAAGAAAAAGTTAAAATAACTCTAAAGTTGTTGGAGGAGCCCTGGTGGTAGAGTGGTTAAGCACTGGCTGTGAACTACAAGGTTCAAAATTGTAAACCACCAGCAGCTCCAGGGAGGAGACCGGGCTGTCAGTCCCATAAACAGTCTCAGAAAACCCCAGGGGGCCGCTGTGAATCAGCATTGGTTTTGTTAATAATAGCAAACAATAGCAGTCATAAACCCACTGACATCTAGTCAATGCGATCCAAAGGGCACAGCAGAACTGCTTCCCAGGGGTTCCCAGACTAAGTCTTTGAGGGAGCAACACCGCCTCTGTATGTTTATTGAGCACTTAATATTTACCAAGCCTCTGTTCTAAGCATTTTCTGTGGATTAACTCACTCAAACCCCACAACTGCCATGTGAGCTTGATACTATGACCCACATTTTACAAACAAGGAGATGAAATGTAATTCCCTAAGTAGAAAGGAGGAATTGAAATCCAGGTGGGTTGGTTCTTAAATGCATGTTTAACCAACTTATCAGGTGCTTCATCAACGACAAATAGAGCAGTGGGAACATCAGAATAGTGATCTGCCCCCCCCTTCCATCTATCATTTCAATCTTTTAATTATTTCTTTAAAAAACTTTTTTTAGAGGATGTCATCAGGCTCCTTTCTGTTTGTATACCTGGTTTTCA